TTCATTAGTTGTTGTGTTTTTCAATAATAAAAATGATAGTATAATTTTAATCCTTAATTTTTATATGGTTGAGAAATAATTTAAAACCATATTTTTTGAGGGAATTTAAAGGAACTGTAGGCATTTTTCAGATGAAGTACTATATAAGGCAAACAGAGTGCATTTATTTTTCATTTTGTCTTTCTAAGCTGCTTGCATTTTCTAACCATGTGCATGTAATACTCTAGAAAATGCCAATGAAGTAGTATGTGCAGTGGGATTAAGGACCATTACCATTTTTTGTTTACTATCAACTATTTCTGGATTAAAATTAATTAATTTTTAAAAGCAAAAATTATTTGAAAGACCTAGAAATCAGGTTCAAATATTCATATCTACAATTCTCTTCTTTTCAGACTATACAAACAAGATAACACAAAAAAGAAATGAGGGAGAGGGATAAATTATATTTATTAACAGAAACACATTATTTCACTTAGACTCTTAAGGACAAAACCACTAAATACAATAGTAAAATGAGATTTAAGAATATATAAATATATAGATCAAGTGGTCTCTTGCATCTTATTGTCCTTTATTATTTTTCAAACGTAGCAAAAGTCACCATCAGAGTCATTCATTGGTCGAGAGAAGAGGTCGAATTCTCAGTCATACATTGGACGACCGATTCAGCTGGACAAGATTTTGATGTCTAAAGTTAAAGTACCGCACACGTTCGTCATCCACTCCTACACGCGGCCCACCGTGTGCCAATACTGCAAGAAGCTTCTCAAGGGGCTTTTCAGGCAGGGTTTGCAGTGCAAAGGTAAGGATGATCCTGTCACCAAATATTTGTTACCAGCCCAGCTGTGACCCTTAAATTAATAATCCTCATCCATCAGAAATTACTATTTCTTTTGTTTTGAAACTTCTCTTTCTAATGAATTCTTGGTTTTTGTTTTGTTTTGTTTTGTTTTAACATCATCGAGACTAGATTGCAGATTCAACTGTCATAAACGTTGTGCACCAAAAGTACCAAACAACTGCCTCGGCGAAGTGACCATTAATGGAGGTGGGTAAAAGATCAGTAATTATGTCTATGCTTCCTCCCTATTAGAGAGGGTGGCAATTATGATTTAGCAGGTTTTTTTAGTTGGTTTTTTTTTTTTTTTTTTTTGGTGGGGGGGGGGGGTGGGTGGTTGAGATACTTCAGACTGAGCCCAAAGTGAACTATATAGCCAGAGTTTGTTCTCCTTTACTCTCAAAAAGCAACCATTCCAGCCCAAAATAAATTGTGGCCAGAATTTGTTCTATTTTACTGTAGAAAAGCATCCACTGAGTTTTGATAAAAAAAAAAAAAACAAAAACAGAGAGACTTTCTTGATCTTTACATGGTAAACAGCTAGTACTGAAAAGTTGAATGTCCATAATTTCTTTCCCAGCTTTCTCATTTTATACTCCTATCCTAGTTTGTTTAGAAATGTGGGAGTTGTTGGGATGCCTACAAGTTATAGCTCTCAGTCTTTTTTCCTCTGTCCTCATTCCAAGCATCTTTAATAAAAGGAACTTTAAGTTTACCAATTAAAAAAAAAACATTTTTTTTTTTTAATATTTGGGAATATCCCTTTGGGAAAACTCCAACTGCATAAATTAACTTTGAAGGACTCCTAAGAAAAATGTCATATCTTAAGGGAACTGCTCACTTTTTCTTCCCAGGTAGTATTCTGATGGGTCGCTACCAAAATATTTCACTTAGAATTCCAGGCTAACTTTTTCCATGGATAGTGGACTACTTTATACCTTCAGTCTGATATCAGTTGTCCAGTTCCTCTGGAAAGAAAAATGGCTATAGATGACCAGAGAAACAAATTGAGTTTTTATGTTACTGAAAAGCTGAAGAACAAATGATTGTCTTTGTTTGAGAACATTCTTCTCCAGGAGAAATATATATTATACCTAGAAGAAGAAGAAAAGAGAGCTCTCCAGGAAAACATTCCAATATTGGTTTCTGGCTTGGAGATTCATGAACTAACTACCAAATGGAAAGCTTGGCAACCTTCCCACTTTCTGTGGCATGTGGTATTCAAGTCCAGGGAATGTCAGTGTATACTTGATAACTATAACTAAGGGGAAACAGAGCAGTTTTTGATGTTGTTGATTACTTTGAAATGTCATTTTCTCTTATAGTCAGAAAAATCTGACAAAATGTGAATTTTCCAAGCTTGGCAGGCTAGGATCTGTGATCAATTATTTTCTAATTTTAAAATGAGTGCTTTGCATTAGTAATTATAATTTTTTTTTTGGCATTACCATCAACTGCATAATGACAGGGTTCAACATAACTTCAATTATCAAGTGTCTTAGGTATTTAAAAGCTGTAGGTATGTGAACAATTTAATATATTGGAATCTGTGATTTTGAAAGTTATTATAGTAAGAATCAGTGATCTTGAATCTTCTTTCATGTGAAAGTTTCCTTCATCCTCTTATATATTTCTTTTTCCCACTAGGGCTTTGCTACTAAAATATGATCAATTTCCTGGTCACTTGTACCTGGTATCATTTTACCTCCCACCACTTTGCTTCTATCCTACACTTGGCTTCCTCCCAAAGCTTCTCATGTTTTTAGGCTTAGGAACATGGGACACAAACATCTACCTATAAAATTACATATTCAAACTCTCATAAATTCAGATACTTATGAACTGAAATAAAAAGGATGAGAGAAAAGATGCATTCTTCACAAGGCTGCTATTCTTAGGGTTTCCAATTGATTTGGTTTGGATTTCCTAACTTTCTCTTAAGCCTTGGCTCCAGGATTTTGGGCTTATCTTCATGGTTCAAAATAATTTTCTAGATTTGCTTAGCCCTGGAGCAGAGTCTGATGTGGTCATGGAAGAAGGGAGTGATGACAATGACAGTGAAAGAAACAGTGGGCTCATGGATGATATGGAAGAGGCAATGGTCCAAGATGCTGAGATGGCGATGGCAGAATGCCAGAATGACAGTGGGGAAATGCAGGATCCAGACCCGGACCACGAGGACTCCAATCGGACCATCAGGTGAGAGCCGCGCTCCCAGCCTCAGTCAAACAATGGAACCTCACGTCGTCTTTATTCTTTAGAGCTCTTTGATGTTTTACTTTCAATCTATTGTAAAGGAAATTTAAAGTGCATGTTTAATATCTTTATGAGTAAGCTATGTACTGTAGATAAGAGCCTTTGGGGTTAGGACGTCAGGATTCCCTGGGAGAAGTGTTGTTTGCATCCTTCCTAGCGTTGATTGCCTCGTTCATTGGTCTATTTTCTTTTGCATGAGAGGGATACTCATATTTGCCATCTACAAGCTTACTATGAAGTTAATATTAATTCATAGCTCATTGCATGGAAATGCAAAGATCAAAGATCAACCTGAGCAGACACCATCTATTTGATCGCTGGCCCCTATTACGAATATCACAGTCTGTCTACACTTCACTGTTCTTGATTTTATTTTAGTAGTATACGTAATTTTATATCTATTATTTAATTATCCACATTTTTATATACTTTCACTACTGGATAATCCCCACTTTTCATATCAGGAGTTGGCACAGTGGGGCCACCAGGCCAAATTGGACTGCGGCCTGTTCTGGAAAGTTTTATCGGAACATAGCCATGCCCATTCACTTTGCCTATGGCTGCTGTTGCACCACTGTGGTAGAGTTAGGTATTCGGCAAAGCCCAAAATATTTATTACCTGGCCTTTTACAGGAAATGTTTCCCAGTCTCTGATTCATATTATAAAGCATATTGAAAGTTTTGTGTCCATTTTACAAATGCCATTTTTATTGACAAACTGAAATTGTTCATTAAAGTAGAGCAATAAAATGATTGAGTTCTTTCCATTTAATGGCATAATAAACATTCTTAAAATACTGGAAAATATTAGTCTTATGACCCAGCTATCTTTTGAAGATATACATTTCTTTAGTACCAAAAGGTTTGCATTGGGGGAGGTGCTTGCATATATGCACCAGGGCTGTCTGGGAGGGACAGAAGAAGAGAGGAAGAGACAGATGAAAAGAGACAAAAAGGGAAGGGAGGAAGAGATAAAGAGGAGAAAGATCAGCATAACTGCATGAGCAATAGTTACATAAAAGATAGTTTAAACAGCAGATTCTAATTTTTATGAAATTATGCAAAGACTAAAATTCACGTTGAATAATATAGTCTATAAATGATTGATACTGTGCCTGTAACATATAATAAATAAGCAAATAAGATTGCACATGTGATTCGGCGTACTGTGACCTCAATACACTGAGACAGTAATCTGCCTGATGTTTACCTGAAAACTGAACACCATACAGTTCAACCTGAAAACTAAGGTGCTTTTTACCCAGCCTTGAGAGTTTTTAAAGTGTACAAATAAAGTGCCTGTAACTCTTCAGAGTAACCCACTTTCTGAGCCATGGTGCTCTGACAATACATTTCACTAAAATGGGATGTGAATTTTTTTGACTTTCACTTTGGAGTAGCTGAAATAAGATTTTATGCATGAAAAGAAGATCTATACCTGAAAACATTTCTCCTAAAATATTTTGACTTTTCAAGTCCATCAACAAGCAACAATATTCCACTCATGAGGGTAGTGCAGTCTGTCAAACACACGAAGAGGAAAAGCAGCACAGTCATGAAAGAAGGATGGATGGTCCACTACACCAGCAAGGACACTCTGGTAAGACCACAGCGAGCAATTTTCTCTTGCCTTGCTAGCTCTAACTAGAGGAGTTGCTGATGCCCTGTGGGGACTGTGGGATGCCCGAGTTGATGGGAGTCAACCTCTGCGCAGGCATGGAGTAGGCCCAGGTGGAGCCCATCACAGTCTCCGGGTGTCTGATGCAGTTGAGCAAGTAGTAGATTTAGAAAAAATGTAGAGAGCAATTTTAGGCAAACAGAAACATTTACCGCGATTACTTGAGATGATTTCCAAACAACTTGAATGTCTACCTGTCATTTTATAGCAGACATGAAAGCCTCAGTATGTGCTTTCACAGTGCTCCTCAGTTATTTAGAATTTTAGAATAAACTACCTTTTAGGGAGAGAAAAAACAGTGATAACCATTGTGTACGTCTTAAATCCTTAGTTAAGTGTTCATCTAAGAACTGATCCATTCAGGAATGTAGTAATCCTATACTTTATGTGAGTCTGTTCACTATTCCAGATTTTCCTGATAGTTGATGAATGAGGTTAGGTATGTATGTAAGAGAGAGAAAAACTTGATTCATTTTTCAAAGTCAAATTAATTAATGATTGGTGATGTCTGATTTTTCAATTACTGGTAGTGCTTTCTTCATCTCTTCCTTTCTATAGGAGCTCTTTCATTTCTTTAGATAAATAGAGACCTGTAACCTAATTAATCCGTCTATAATCTCAACCTTCTCTGCTGGAGAGAAAAGACTTAACATGACTTAATGTAGGACTCAATTGAACACCACCTAGTTCTTCCTAAATGAGGTATAAAGTATTGAAAGTAAATTTAATATGTTTTGTCTAAGATTGGTTGTGGAAGAAACCAAGAATAATTAGGGCTTTGGGGCCCAAAAAGATCAAAATACACACACACACACACACACACACACACCCTAGAATCATGAAAGATATTTCTAGAATGAGGAAGAACCTGATCACGAAATCAGAGTAGTTAGATCTATAGCGAGATGGAGAGAAGGTGGAGTTAATGCTTTGATACAGCCCTCTGACTTTGTTAAGTTGTTGTCTTAGAGTCAATCTTTTCATCCAGCAAAATACTTTTTAGTTCTATTGTAATATTCAGAATTCTTCCATCTCTAATGGAAGCCAGCATACCTGGGTGGATCAGCATGGCATTGCTTATGTCCTAAAATAGCAAACATGTATAAACATTATATCTCCTAGTAAGTAAGTCTTGTTTTATTATGGACTACAAATCCACCTTTAGCTCTTCAAGCAGTCAAATAAATTTAAAAATGGTGTTTTCTATTAATACTTAACTATGTACATACTAAGTGCCAGGCACTTCAGAGGGTTTATTGTTCATAATCCTCTGCTGTGGATGCAGAAACTTATCACACTACATTTGCCAAGTAGTTAAGTGATACTGAGTGTATATAGAGTCTAAAACTGAGCATAAATCTGTCTGGTCCAAAGCCCATTCGCTTTCAACCATCGGATCCTACGTCCTCAGTGCTAAAATGTATTTATTTTATCAATCTTGGGTGTTTTTAGGTTTTTAAAGATTCTGAATCTAACTTCTGTTTCAGCGGAAACGGCACTATTGGAGATTGGATAGCAAGTGCATTACCCTCTTCCAAAATGACACAGGAAGCAGGTACTACAAGGTAAGGGTTCTCTTTCTTCGTAGTCTCATTCTTCCTCTTGCTTTCTTATGACAGTGAACGGTATCAAAAATACAAAATACATCCAACGGACATGATGGTTTTTGTGCTGCCTCCAAGAGATATTTTTTTCTTCTCCATAGCTTACAAATTTCTTTAGAATTAGGTTGTGACCTCTTGATTCATCTGTGAATTTCGCACTTCCCTGGGGAATGCTTCTGGTCCCATGGAATGGTGGGGACGGGGAGAGAGGGAATGATTAATTGACTGTTTTAGCAGAGATGTGTGATTTAATGAGAAAATTCACAGTCACAGAAGATCAGCTAAAAGTAAATTCCTGAGATCCACTGCATCCAGCACATTGCTGAGGGTTAAGAAACATTGTATGATTTCTGCCAACATTCACAAGGAGCACTTTCTTCTAGAGAAAAATTTGGCAGCAATTTTTATTGTGTTCCTCTACATTAAATAATACAGATGTGGCGTAATTATCAACCAGTAAAATGCAACTTCAAAAAAAGTTCATAGTGAAAACAGTAGATACTTGCCCCTTCAAAATGAATGCAGATTTAGGCATAGTTGATCTCATGGCCACTTTACTCAGCTGTCATAGCAAAAGAAAACCTCACTATTTTAAAATTAAAAAATTTTGTTTTAAAAGGCATTCAAGATTACAGTGAGCTATGATCAGGCCACTGCAGTGCAGCCTGGGCAACAGAGCAAGATTCTGTCTCTAAAAAAATTAAAAATTAAA